TTTCGATGTCTTCGTTCCATGCCACTATTTGCATTCGGTGCCGACTAATCTTATGTATTGTAACATAAATTTGAGCAACTTACAAGTTTGAGTTTTACCGACAATTTTAGGTCCCTCTATTTCATCTATGAAACCTTTAGTTCCCTGAAATATTATATAATTTTGTAACGCTATTTCGCGTTCGGTGCGGGATAAGCTGCGAGTCGGTGTGGTCCGGATTCGAGCAGATGTTAATAAGTGTGAAGACAGTGGGATGGATATTAAGATGATGTATATTGTCGATTAGATGGCTATGTACAATGATTATTTACAGTCTGATGCGACGCCGTTGGTTTCGCGAGCGGGTTTTTGTGTTCGCGCGTGTTGATGTTCGCTGCGGCGGAGCTCGTGCCGTGGGACGCGGGCGGTCGTGTGACGCGTCGCTTGTATTGTGCTCGCGGCACGATGTTGACGCTCGGGTCTTTAATGTTGGTTGCGCTAGGAGAGCCGTTACTCGAAGAATAATACGGCCCCGTATGCGTAATGCGTCAGAGTTCTGCGGAGCGATCGTGCGCTATGATGCGTTGCCGCGGGATCGGTTCTCCGGAGCGGCGGCGCGATTTCGCGGCGGCAGGTAGCGGAACGTTTATAATATCGGAGGTTTCGCGGGTCCGACAGCCGGGGCTGCGGTTTCCGAGCCGCACTTAACGCGGCTTTTCCGTATTCGGTACCTCTTCGAAGCGGTATCGAGAAATATCGCTTTTGCGAATCCAATAAGTCGACGGAGCGGTAATCAAGGATGTAGACTTTACGAATCCAATAAGTCTACGCGGATGTCGACTTTACGAATCCAATAAGTCGACGGAGCGGTAATCAAGGATGTAGACTTTACGAATCCAATAAGTCTACGCGGATGTCGACTTTACGAATCCAATAAGTCGACGGAGCGGTAACGAGGATGTAGACTTAACGAGATCGACGAGTCTCCACGAGTGCCGACTCTACGAATCCAACGAGTCGACGGTGTGGTCGCCTGTGCGAATTTGATAAGTCTACGCGGAGGTCGACTTTACGAATCCAACAAGTCGACGGAGCGGTGAGGAAGGTCTAGGATACGGTGTTCTAGGCAGCGCTGCTCGCGAGGTGCTGCTGCTGTCGGAGTCTGAGCTCCGTTCAGCGGAGTGCGTCGGAAGACTGCTTATCTCTCGGCTCTTCGCGCGGTCTTTTATACTACTTTTCGCCTGATCTAGTGTTGTGTTCTTCACGGTCGGTCGGCGGTGTTTACATTAGTTTGTCCTGTTCTGTTTCGTGAAGGGTCGTTTCATATATTTGCTTTTAACGGTTTCGCGGTTTGTATTACGGACGGCTCGTTACAATTTAATATATAGTTTTATAAGTAAGATAATATATACATATATAATTTAACGTATACACAGTTGAGTTTCCATCGAGTATGGATTATAACATCTTATCACTCGAAAATGAAATTGTTTCAAGTTCATTATTTATATTTAAAACTTGAAGTTTATTTGAAATGTTCTCTGATCTATAAAATAAAAGAGTAGGTATAATATAAAGGTTCTAACCCATGGTCCTCTGGGGGGGGGTGAGGGGCGGGGGGTATGACGTCATCGGGGGATATGACGTCACCGGAGGTATGACGTCAGAGGGAGTATGACGTCACCACGGGGGGGGGTATGACGTCACCGCGCAGGGCGTTATCAGCGGTCGGTAATTAGGGGGAGGCATACCGATGTTATCGACGATCGGTAATTTTTACCGATATTATATAACATTTAATTACATAATTTTTTACCAACATATAATTACACAATACCGATAGTACCGACGATCGGTAATTTATTACCGATATTATATATCAACATTTAATTACTTAATTTTTACCAGCACATATATATTTTTATATAATTTTTACTGTCATGTTTACATAATATCGATGATCGGTAATTACCGATATTATATAATTTTTTCTATCTGCTTTCGATGGATCATTTTACCGATCTGCAGTGGTTTTTTCGCGGCGGTTTCCGCGGCGGATTTTGTGGCGGTTTTGCGCCTCCCGCGCCGCCCGCGCCGCTCGCGTATTTCGCAGCGTGATTTTTTAGTCACAGCTGCAAACTCTAATATTCTGCAAACGTATGCATTTGACAATTAGATGCGCAAGAACTAGAATGTGACACATGATATTCTTATTACTAATGAGCACGTACACTGTGTCCCCGCGACAAGATTTTGCAAGCGTTTGCGTGTTATACATCGTGGACAATATATTATGTAATAAAGCGATAAAAACGGTAATACAGAACGGTAAAGAAACGGTAAAGAACGGTAAAAAAAACGGTAATGAAATGGTAAAAAACGGTAAAAAAAAACGGTAATGAAATGGTAAAGAACGGTAAAAAAACGGTTTAGAAACGGTAAAGAATGGTAAAGAAACGATAAAGAACGTTAAAAAAGCGGTAATGAAACGGTAAAGAACGGTAAAAACAAAACGGTTTAGAAACGGTAAAAACGGTAATAAAACGATAAAGAACGGTAAAAAACGGTTTAGAAACGGTAATGAAACGGTTAAGAAACGGTAAAGAACGGTAAAGAACGGTAAAAAAAGCGGTAATGAAACGATAAAGAACGGTAAAAAACGGTTTAGAAACGGTAAAGAACGGTAAAGAAACGGTAAAGAACGGTAAAAAAAAACGGTAATGAAACGGTAAAGAACGGTAAAGAAACGGTAATGAAACGGTAATGAAACGGTAAAGAACGGTAAAGAAACGGTAAAGAAATTAATATTATAGCATATCACGCGATGTAATTCCGTGTAATTTGAATCATCAAATGCAGATGTGCAGACAGTTATGTGTAAAATAAATGGTCATACAAAAATGTGTTGTATATATTTTTATTACACTACAGGAGGTAGTTAAGAATATATATACGGTATGTGATTTTATTAAAACTAGAGGTTACAAATCATGTGTTCCAAAGCGTAATGTTCAATGTCGGGTAAAGCACAAGCCAATAGTTCGCAATCAACAAGCGAGTCGCAATCGAAATCCACATTATCACGTATCACCTTAGCAGCATAATCCCAATCAATGGTTTTTGACTCATAACATACGCCGGTGATGTTATTCTGTTGTAAAATCTTTACAAACTTTTTAAACTTTGTGTTAACAAGATGTGTATTTTCACAAAGCCATTCATACATATGGTCAATACATTGTTCATAAACAAATAACCTATCCAATGTTTTTCGTTTAACATATAAAATATTGCCGAATAGAGTGAGTTTTAGAACTTTAGCTTTCTGTATTTTATCACTTTTGATTAACAAGTCGCAAATCCAAAACGGCGAAGATTCAGCCTATTGCAGGAGTCGATCGAAGTCTGTGCGTTTGTGCATAATCTCCTTCCAGATTTGATGTGGTAATATCAAGTGATTGCCGCGATTGTCGCCAAGAATAATTTCCACGCAAGACACGGGTCCTACACTGATTCCAATTTCTAGATATTTATAGAATGTGGATGTTAGGTCATATCTTCTTCCCAAGATACGAGTTATATGTTGAGACCGTAAAGATGGATTGGAGGAAGAAGCGCTATAAAAGATTAAAAATTATATGTATAATGTACAAAAAACAGTTAATTGAAGGAAAGAAAAAATGATGAAAGGCAAAACCTACCTTGCATTAGCTGTTTTTGCATGGTCCTTTTGGATAGGAATGTAATAATTCATTCGTTTGACGTTTCCTGCAACACCGTTAGTATACATCTTCTTAACAGTCTAATTTGTCTGTTCGATCCTTGTGTCATAGATGCAATGCTCATGTAAGAGTCGTTTTTCTAATATATACAATCCCCCACTATCGCATACCTTTGTTCTTACAATGATGCAAAATACGCTACATTGCAGTTTCCCCCTCCTATTCTTCATCTATGACGCAGAACGAGAAGCTGAGATAACAAAAACGCTATATGTGACAATTATTGCCTGCGTGGTTGCCTGTATATGTGAAACGAGCAGTTTTATTCCGCAAGTGTTCTCTCGATTAAAGTTTCATTGTCGTGTCGGCGTCATTAAGTCGGACAACCGGAAACATGGAATCAATGTTCCACGGTATCGAGAAGTTAAGCGGGGCTGAAAACTGGTGCACATGGAAATTCGCAGTCCGTAATTTACTGCAAGGTACTGAAAATGCACACGAGGTATGCATCGGTGAAATAAGAAAACTAGCGCTATTAATGGTAGGAGCAGGTGAAGCACATCAAGCGACGTACAATGCATCACTTAAGGCGTGGGATAAGGCTGATCGCGCTGCAAGCCAAATCTTTGTTAAAACACTTGAGGCAAAAGTTATGGCATTACTGGTGTCATGTGACAGTGCACGGGATATGTGGGTAAAACTACACGCCATTTTCGAACAGAAAACTAAGCAATCGGCACACACGGTGCAAACGGAGTTCTTCAATTTCCGTATGTGTGTTGGCGATATGGTCGCGCATATAGCCAAATTCGAAAATCTCGTGTATCGCATAACGCAAATGAATATCGCTCCTGACGAAGCATCACAGATGGTGAAATTGCTGGACACTCTTCCAGATAGTTTCGAGAGTCTTCGCCAAGCATGGTGGGCGAGACCGGAAGAGCAGCAAACATTTGCTAACTTGGTTGAGCTCTTGACTTCCGATGAGCAGCGCTGTCAGCACCGATAGCAGCAGAACGACGAGTTGGTGGCTCTAGTTGCAGCCACTGCTGCCAAAATTAGAGAGGAAAGCGCTCCAAAGGGCGCTCCAAAGGGCGCTGCTGGACAGCAGCGGAAATCTGGAAAAAAGGGTGGACGCGGCCCACGGTGTTTTAAGTGCAACGGTTTTGATCACAAAATTATACTATACCAGCCCGGAAAAGCAGTACGAGTGAAAAGGCGAAAGGTGCCGTCCCGGAAGCGCTAAATGCTGAAGTACTCTGTGCAAAGAGTGAATGTAATACATGGGTGCTTGATTCTGGAGCATTATATCACATGTCGCCACATCGTGAGTGGTTCGTGGACTACAAATCATTTGATACACCAATCAAAGTGTATCTCGGTGACAACAAGACGACAATGGACGCCATTGGCGCAGGGCGCATCGATTGCGAGGTATCGATCGATGGCAAATGGCTGAAGCGTCACCTCGAATACGTGTTGCACGTACCATCGTCACGGAGAAATTTATTCTCACAATCGTCCGTACTCGATAAAGGAATGAAATTATATTCCTCCGATCGAGAATGTGAGTTCACGAAAGGTGGCGAAGCTATGGTGCGCGGAGTACGCAGGGGGCGCTTATTCGCAATGCAGTTGCGGATTATCAAGCCAAGTGAGTTGTGCAAGTCCACATCGCGGAGCAACAGTTGCTGCAGGTGTGGCATGAACGACTCGGGCATCAAAATAAACAACATGTGAAGAAATTCCTAAAGGATCATGGTGTTAACGTGCTTGATGACGACGTTTTCTGCGCTGCATGTGTGCAGGGGAAGCAACAGCGGAGCATTTTCAAGTCACGACAGCAGAGAGCAACAACGCGAGGTGACATTATTTACGCTGATCTATGTGGTCCAATGGAGGTGGATTCCTTGGGTGGAGCCAGGTACTTTCTGTGTTTCACGTGCGATTTTACTAGATATCGCATCGTTGCTTTTCTCAAAGAGAAATTAAAGGCAGCTGCTAAAGTCGACGAAAGATTAGTGTCTAATCTGTGTGGTCGATTAATCAAGGCACTGCAATGCGATGGTGGATTGGAATTTAATAATTCCAAAGTAAAATCTATTTTGAAGGCTCAAGGGGTACAGTTGTTGATTACAAATCCTTACACGCCAGAACAAAACGGATGTGCCGAGAGGATGAATCGGACAGTGGTAGACTTAGCGCGTACAATGATGGTGGCGAGAAACATGCCAAAGTTTCTGTGGGCTGAAGCAGTGAACACTGCAGTGTATGTTCTCAACCGTACAGGGCCGAGTCAAGTGGCTGGAAGATCGCCTTACGAGGCATTTACGGAGAAGAATGCTAGGATTGAGAAACTCTACGCGTTCGGTGCCTCATGTTATATGCATGTTCCCAAGGAGAAGCAAAAGAAATGGGACTCAAAGGGGCAACAAGGCACACTTGTCGGATATAGTGACGATATAGACGCGTATCGTGTTTATATACCAGCCGACAGGAAAGTCGTTCGCAGCAAAAGCGTCATCTTTGAACCTGAAAACTCAAGCACGACACTTACTCTGTCTTCAGTTGCCACGACGCAAGAAACGGTGGAGGAAGTTGCAGCTCAACATGATTCAAAAGGCACCGATAAGAGGTTCGCTGCTGACGAAGTGACTGTGGAAGCCAAGGATAATACTTTACAAAATAAATCTCTCCGAGAGAAAACTAATTTCAGTCCGCCGAACCTGCGCGACAGGGCAACGATCAAAGCACCTGATCGTCTGGCTTATGCAATGTTGACAGAAATTTAAGAGCCAATAAACTATCAAGAGGCTGTTAAATCAACAGAGGCGCAGAAGTGGAAGGAGGCGATGAAGAAAGAAATTGAGTCATTGGAGGAGAATCTGACATGGTCCTTAGTCAAGTTACCAAAAGGCCGGAAGACGATCTCCAATCGATGGATATTTCGAATCAAACGTGGACCTGATGGTGCTGTTCAACGGCATAAAGCGCGACTGGTATGTCGCGGCTTCAGCCAGAAGAAAGGAGTTGACTTCAACGAAACATTCAGCCCTGTTGCCCGTTTCGATACAATACGGGCTGTCTTGAGTGTCGCAGCTAGCGAGAATCTCAAGCTGACACAGTTTGACATCAAAACTGCATTCTTGAATGGTCTCCTGGAAGAAGAAATCTATATGGATCAACCGGAAGGTTTTCAAGATGGCACAGATCGAGTTTGTAAGCTCGAGAAAAGTCTTTATGGGCTCAAGCAATCGCCCCGATGCTGGAATAAGAGATTCAAAGAGGTGCTTCTACGATTTGGACTTAGTGAGAGCGAGACGGATCCATGCCTGTACTACCGGAAAGAGGATGGTAGAAAGCTGTTGATCCTATATGTAGATGACGGCCTGGTTGCAGCTTCTAGGAAAGAAGATATCGACGCATTATTGCAATGCCTCAGAGAGAATTTCAAGATCACTCATGAGCCATTTGGGTATTTCTTGAATGTACACATCACACGCAGAAGTGATGGCTCTGTAACGGAACGCACACCCACCGAACGGTAAATTCTTTTTTTTTGTACTGCTAACCCTTTCCCGCACACCAATCCCGACATCGCCTAACAATAGTCAAACCTTCTTACTCGGTTCAGAAGAACGGTTATATCCTTCCCTCACTATCCCTGTTCAAACGTGCCCCTAAACCTATCATACTGGAGTAGGCCCACCGACACTAGGTGCACACAGCGTCAGAGTCCGAGGTGATCGTCTTGGAGCAGCGCCCTCTTGCAGCCACCCCCGGAACTACCAAGCGCATGTCGGTAAGTACAAATAGCCACACTACCATTCCGCGATTGGCGCCACCTGTGAACGTGTAAGGCATCATCAACGTCGGTAACCGAAGCCGGTAATACATCATCGAATGTAATCATCACCGTCAGCAGCATTACCCTAAGACTATAACTGTAAACTGCCTTTCTGCTACGGATTAATTGGGTGGGATCTCTTGATCGCGCGTATCTCCGGGGAGAAACCACGGTTTTGTTTGACCGAAAATTGCGATCGTGTCCCGCGTCAAGGGCCCGAGCTCTGCGATTGTAACCAGGTAGCCGCGGCCGACCGGGACGTAACATAAAACTGGTGACAGCGGTGGAATCCGCTGAGATCCTGCCGAGAGAATGCCGGAAACCCGTGGTAGGAAGGGCACAATGTCCACCAACACCGACCCCGAGTTAGATGCCAGAGTACAGGAAGCCATTCGAAGGGAACGCGAAGAACTCGAGCGCGAACGCACTGAAATGGAACGCGGTCCCACCAGTCGCGAACGCGAACTGAACAAACGTTCCGAGGAATTCGGATATATTGGTCGAATAATTCAAGAAAACGCGAACCTACGGAAGGAAATAGAACGTCTAAAGCGGGAACCATCCAATCCTCGTGACCCCTCACCCCAAGCCGCTCCAACGCACCTACACTCTTCGGATCCCGCGTACGACACTCCCACCCCACGACTGTCTTTCCGC